GTGGTTCTGTGTATTTGATGTTTCCCTTTCATTTTGCAAGTTAAAGGGAATTTAGATGCTGACACGGTGTGTGTGTGTGTGTGTGTGTGTGTGTGTGTGTGTGTGTGTGTGTGTGTGTGTAAGTGCTTGTACTTGCTTGTAGAATGTGTTTTTGTTTTTTGGTTTTTATGTTAAATTTATTTAATCTTTTTGAGAGTCTCAGCAATAGCTGTAATGAATTCCAGAAGGCTTTCCATTTCTCTGTTCTGTCACTCTTCACCTCCTATTTCACAGCAGGCCTGGTCGCCTGAAGTCCCTGCCATCTGGCCATACTGAAGGGTTTTTGGGACAAACTTCAAAATTTCATATAAAAATCCATTGATGTAACTGCATATAAAGGGCATGTCATCAGCACTACCAGCAGCAGATATAGTGTGTGTTCACCTCAACAGTAAAAAGGTACTGTAAAGTTATCTTAATGTGACTTTAGAATTAATCATTGTATAAACAAAATCGAATTCCCTTGAAAGACTTTTCAAGGGAAAACAGCGTCTGCATTTGCCTTGGAGGGAGGATTCTTTATCTTTTTAGGACTTTTTATTTTTAGGGATAGTGAAGATGTTTTTGGATCTTGCCATAATGATAGTGACAGTGGAGGTCATACTGCAAACATTTGGTGAGAGAGGGGAATGCAAACTTGTTTTATTTTCTGATGTGTGATGGGTATTACAGGCTCATAGTTACAACCAACTGAATACCCTTCACCCTTCCCTTTCCAAGTGTGTAGCATGACCTATGGTGGCTGTGAAAAGTGTGATCCCCCTAAATCCTGCACACTGGTCCTTTAAATATGCATTGACTTCATAGACAGACTTGCAGGTTGGGGTGGCTGTGCAGGCGACATTGTGGATCAGCAGCTATTCAGATTGTCACAAGCACAGATGGAAAAACAAATGAACAGAAATGTGTCCTCAAGTGTAAATATGCATTGTAAGCTGTTCACATTATCAGATTTGCAGATGGAGGTAACATATGCCCAGAAATATATGCTATCACCCTGTAAAATTTACAGATGGAGTTAATATCACCGCATTATTACACCGTGAGCTGAGTGTCATGTATTGACTCACTATGTGGTTGCTGTATGTAAGGTGGCTGTTACGGTCTGGTCAGTATCTGGGCAGCTGGCAGCCTCCAGATCTCATGTTGATGAGGGAGGCAGATGCAGGCCTCACCTCGCTTAGCTCTTGTTTATACAGAGGAAGTTGAATCTATCTGTCTGTTGGTTTGTCAGACTCTCCTCCCTGGCGTGTTGAGGTGTGTGACAGAGAGATGGAGAGAGATGGCGGCTGGACTGGCAGAGTGAGAGCAGACTGTCTCTCTGTAATGAATATAAATGGGCTCCAGGTCTCACTCTCCTCATCTGGCTCCCCTCTCTGAAAACAGGCATGGGGTGAGGATGTGGGATGGAGGAGGCCCATCCTCCTTCCCTCCCTCTCTGCTTACTCACACACTTGCTGCATTGTACATACAGAACGCACAGAAACACTCACAATCATACAAATGTGTTTGTGTCTTGATTTTGTGGTGACTGCTCGGTGGTCCCAGTTCAGCCGAAACAGCTGTTAGGGAGACTCATCGTGGTGTTGTCAAAGTACAAAGTTACATGAAAGATAATGTGTTACAGTAATCTTTCTTTTTTGCTCTTCTTTGGTGTATGTTGCAAATCACGTTTAAGTGACTGTTCGGATGTTACGTCTAAAACATGTGGAAAACGTCACCGCATGACGATGATGAAGTTCCGGTAATTTAGCAGTCAGCCTCACTGTCTAAACAAACTTAACTAAAAACAACAAAAATGCCCTCACTGAATGAGCTAACGTTGGCCAGCACAGCTAGTTAGTAACATAAAAACAGCGTTTTATCGTGTTTACTAGTTATTCCAAATTCTGAGCTTATACAGTAACTCCAGGCATTGTTCCTTCTGTTTGTGTCAAAATAAAATGAACAGGCCGTACAGCTCTGGGTATCTCTGGGCGAGTATAATCAGCTGTTCTTCATCTTCAGTTTGGCTGACCTTTCAACTTGATGTTGTTACCTCGTTGTACGGAAAAGGTGAAGCAAGTCCTGTGGAGCCTGTTGGTTAAGTCTGATCACGTGACCTGTGGTGTGCTTGCTGCATTAGAAAAAGCTGCGATGTTTCCATCTCTGTGCACCAGAGACATAGACACAATGAAAAACGAATGAACGAATGCTCATCATGACAGCATTGCTTTTCATTTTGAGGCGCTTGTCCTGCATCTCCATTAAAAATAACGGATTAGCGTGTTCAAAAGATGTGACATCTGAACGGTCCCTAATGATAACACATAACATAACAGGAGATTGCTCTTCATCAGTGAATACATGCTATTAGAGCTGAAACCATTTTGAAAAAGAATGGATAGTTTAAATGTTTTATCTAGCAAAAACTATTAATTAATAATAATAAATAATAATAATAATATTAATAATAATAATTTGCTAATTTTCTCCTTTTCATATGATTATAAAATCTATTTAGTTGTGTTTTTTAATTTGTGTTTACACTGTTTCTTTTAACATTTTGTGGCATTTTAGTCCATGCTTAGTCAGTCTAACGTCATGTTCTAAATCACAATGTGGCATATGTGGTAAACACGTTCATGAAAACCGATACAATCTAATGCAATCGAATGAAAATGCTACGCAATAAATTGTATCTTTTTGAAGCTCATGATGTTCAATTGTTGTTTATACTTGAGGAAATACAGACCCTCTATTATAGTGCAATTCAATACAGCCCTCAGAAATTGCTGTGCTGAATCCCAACAATAACTGAACATTATAGTCTTCACAGTGACGTATTCACTGCAGGGCCTTTGTATGTATGTCTGCAGTATGACAAGCTATTGTCTGGCTAGTTTGCTGTGTTTGTCAGTGAAGAGATTAAGACTTACACTGTGTAGAATCTAAAATAGTTTTCTCTTTTTCTGTATTGCTCTGCTCTGAGCACCCTTACCCTCATCCTTATTTCCCCTGCTTTTTATCCAACCTACAAGGTGCTGATGGAGCCCAAGTAGCAGCAACACTCCTTATCTGAAGCACAGGACCTCCATAACCTCCTCACTTTGTCTTTTAACTGCATTTGGAGGAACACAGTCTTTGCCCAGCATACACTGTAATGTGACATTATTTATTTTCTCTATGCCGTGTGCATTATCACCTATTAGTCATTCTTCCCATTCACACCATGTCATCATCTGATTCCCATGACGAATGAACTGTCTGCAGACATTTCTTCTGAGGGAGTCCTATGATTAGCACACATCTCCATATCTCAGAGATGTTATTGCTTCTTTCCTCCTGCCGCTCCACTCTTGATGTTTGTCATGAAAAGGATGAAAAAAAACATCCTTTGCTTTATTCTGGCTAAGTGTCATCTGGGTCTATTTAGAAATCTGTGAGGCTGTTAGCAGTGCTGCCAGTGTTGTCATGTTTTCTTAAATTGATTCCCTGTGATTACTTGGCATTTATGGCGCTCTGTAAGGGACAGAATACGAGAAAATCACTTGGTAAATTGTGCTTTAGATATGCTGTGAAACAAAGCCCGGATGATGACACACACACACACACACACACACACACACACACAGAGAGCAACACACGTGGTCGGAAATCTGCGTATACGCCCTCACTCACTCATATGGACTATAATTAATTGCCAGGAAGTCTCAGGTAATTTAAATTGCAAATCAGTGCAGCCTTGTTCTCCCAACTTTTGTGATTAATATTTTATTGTTTTACTGAGCGAAAATGCCACCAGTGTTTTTCATCAGATACAAATAGCACAAAGAAAGAAAAGGGGGGCACTGGATTGAGGAAGATCGGATCCAGGCGTTATCTCTAAACATTAATTAAGTCGTGTCTGGGTCTGGAGCTGTCGAGGTCGCCTCTCCTGTCTACAATCCGCTTCGCGAAGACAGAGGTCTCTCTCCCTTTTCACCCATTCTCTCATTTCTTTCTCTGTCTCTCTGCCTCCTCGGTCTGATACTCAGTTTTTGGCAAGTTTTTCTTGGGTCTTGAACTTCTCTTTCAATCAGCCACTAATTAAGCAGCAGAGAAGAAGGGTTTCTTTGGCAGGAGATCGGGGGGGACGTGCAGGTTGAGTGAGAAAAGCCAGATCCTGAGACCTTGTGATGACTTAGGTATGAATTGTGTGGATAAGAAGTTGAGAGGAGCAGAGCGGGGAAACCAGCGGAAATGAGAGATTTAGGCAGCAGAGAAACAAAGCTTTGAAACCAAACTGTCGCATGTTCCTTTTTAGTTTTTTTTTAAAAAATCCTATGAGACTGCTAGTGTAGAAAAGGACCAAAAATTAGACTAAAATAATAAGGAAGTTTCTCTTTGCGACAAATAGAAACTCAGAAGTGATTTGGCCATTGCAGGGCAAATCTCAATCGCAGCATTTCAGGATGAAAAAGAAATCCTGGATGCAGGTTCTTATAAAAACAACTTTGACCTTTCTTAGTCAGCACTGGCTTTAGAAAGTACTGTGTGACCTTGTGTGTGTGTGTTTGTGTGAGTACAGACTGGCAGCTTGAGATGAAGGTCTTTAGTCTTGCACTTCACTTAGAGCCACGGTGGACGGGTGCAGCCTGGCTGGAATCAGATGGCTGGCACAGTGCTCTGCTCCTCTCAAAGCAAAACAAAGACGAAACCACGCGCAGACAAAGGAAGGCTTCCCCCAGTGAAGCAGAGCGCGCGCCGTTGCTGTGCTTTGAATGCTGAAGCCTCCTTTAAAACAAATAAATTCAGAGCCCTTACTTACTAGAAAATAGCACTCAATTAGACTAACCATTCAATTAGGGATTGCCATGACACACACACACACAGACCCATACGCACTAGCACACACACAAGCTCACAGCTTTTCATAGTAATGTGCTTCACTAGTTTAAAGTCAGAGTTATTTTAATGGCTGTGTTTCTGTGTCCCTACAGGGTGCCCGTAGCTGTTTTGGAGTCTGGACGTCCTGTTGTACTGGTTGCAACTGTGCGGCTCTCCATACAGCAGGTGTTGTTTCAGACGCAGCCAGCTTGACAGATTTTTGGCACCTCCCTCCCCTACACGCCCCATACCACCTCACCCCACACCTGGCTGGTGCTCCGGCCCCATTCAGTCATCAAGGCTGGCAATGTCCAGAGTCCCAAGCCCCTCTCCCCCGGTGGAAATGTCCAGCGGTCCCGTGGCTGAGAGCTGGTGTTATACTCAGGTGAGGACACTGTTCTGTGTGTGTGTGTGTGTGTGTGTGTGTGTGTGTGTGTGTGTGTGTGTGTGTGTGTGTGTGTGTGTGTGTGTGTGTGTGGGAGTGCATGGGATTGGCTGCTGCTTATCACCTTTGGTGGTTGCTTTCATTCCAAGACTGCATTCAATTTCACTTCAACAAATAGTTATTTTGTTCTTGTTGATCAAGCACACAACTACTACTCAGTACAATGTGAGATTCTTTTTTGTTAGGAATTAAAGGAGAACTTTACCAACTAACAATCAAAGTCTGTTTGCAGGTCTTGTGCAGTGCAGCTGCATGTGTGAAAAAAGTTGTGTAAAGCCTTTTGTGACTGTGTGAAATCTGATATTGTTGGTTGGGTGTGGGTGTGGAGTCAGAAAGAACTGAGCTTACCAGACCTCTGTAGCCCGCTCATCATCCCTGCTTTAGGCTAGCGGATTGATGCTGCATTAACCGGCACTAGTACATAGCACATCTAAATCTCTGACGGAACTGTTGGCTGTCAAGTTGCATTGTGGGTTATGGAGGTGCCATTTTTTATTAAGGAAGAAGAATGCGTGGAATAGAAAAGGAAAAGATATCTCCGGCTCTGCTGCATTGATTTTGAGCAGTGCAGTACTAGGAAAGGTCTAGTGTGTGACATTTAGGAGGACAAATAGAATGTAATGCTCTATCTTGCACTGACTTGCGCAATTGACTTTGTACACTGGCACTTGTATAATTCCTATTTTGCACTCGACGCACATTGGAATTTTCCCTCCACAGACGCACGTCCTTAAATTAGGGAATGAACTTGCGCTTCGGGGGGCGGTTCAGAGAAAAGAGGAGGCGTGTTCCGGCGCAAACGTTCCCTGCCTGGCAAATCCGCCGTTATAATAGCAGTCCGCCATGGAACAAGCGCGCCTGCTTTTAAAGGGAATGTGAGATGACGCTCTGATTGGTTTATTGCACGTTACACCCAAACCACACCTATGACTAATGTAGCTACTTCAGACCAACCCATTTTAGATTTGCGCCGGGCGCAAGAGTCATTTATCCCGCCGGCATAATAGCAACAGCGCCCGAGATCTGCCCACAAAGCTACTTGCGTTTTGCGTTTGATACTTGCGTTTCAGATCTGCAAGATAGGGCCCATAATGTTCATAGGCACTATATGTTTTTATCTACAGCGGGTCCTCTTCCCTGGAGGTTGCAGCGTTGAACTGCCATGTCTCTACAGAAGCCCAAAACAAACAAACCACTCTCTCTAGACTAACTCTAAACACTGGCTCTAGATTGGGCCTCTCGTTGAGAGTTTTGCTGCCACCGTAGTTTAAAGGGGAGGGTGAGGAGGGTTGGTTGCAATCTTATCTCCACATGCTGGTCCTTTAAGGGTGTAATCACTGATTGACAGATAGACATATAGATGTGTTATCTACCTCATATTTTATCTGAAAGCTGTTTGCAACACAAAAATGTGTTGTTTTCCTCAGCATGCTATCGGAGCGCATCGCAGCACGGAGGGCTTAGCTAACGGTCTGATAGTCCAGTTTTTGCATAATGTTAGACAGAGCTAACTGTGAATAGGACAGCTGGTAAACAGTTGGGTTTATTTTGCTTTTGCTCTTTGAAACTATGCCCGTTTGTCAAGACAGACACATTTCACCTTTAATTTGACAGGTAATTGTTCAGTTGAATAGAATTTCTTAATTTATTTATTTATTTATTTTTAAAACATTACCTATACTGTGCAATTGTGTTTGTTCCTGTCATTGCAGTAGAGACTATGCTAGTTCAGACACCACTTTTCTGTTAAGAGCCAAGGTAGATAAAGTATGTCATTGATGATGTCTGTTTTTTCATCTCCTCTGTCTTTGCAAAATTGTTTTGTTTTTTCTGTTGCCACTTTTACAATATCCTTTCTTCTTTCCCTCCGTTTGTTGTCAGTGTTTATTAAGATGAAAGGCAGTTTTGATGTGTGGTTTTGAAGTCCAGGCTGACCAAACACCACTTACCCATATAGAATAGATAAATATATAAATAAAGATATCTGGTTTCAGCTCTCGCTGTTTCTTTTCCTGCGCAGATCAAAGTGGTAAAGTTCTCCTACATGTGGACCATCAACAACTTCAGCTTCTGCCGTGAGGAGATGGGAGAGGTCATCAAAAGCTCCACTTTCTCCTCAGGAGCCAACGACAAACTCAAATGGTTAGTGAAGGCTGGTCACTTTAGCTATCAGAAATAGAGAATGGAGAACACTTTCTCCAACAACTCGCTCAAGGATCATTCACTTGTTGCACCTTTGAGAAGTAGAACATCGTTTTCAAACGATTAAACCCTTCAGCATCCAGTTGCCACTTTTTCATGCTTGAAGTTAGACAAATGTGGCTCTATCTTCACTTTCTCACATAGGCTCAGAGTGACAGATAAAACCATGATTAATGCCAGGATGTGTTAAATATAAATTCAAGCATACTAACACAGGAAATATTTTAAATATAGCCAGTTGACTACACAGACCTGCTGTATGTTTGACATATTTCCTCTGTAGAGGAGGCAGAGTCACCTCATCTCATGAGGTCAAAGAGCTAGTCAAAACAAAAGTGGGAAGGCATTATGGGTTTTGTCTCCATCTTTAAAAAACGTCTACTCATAATATCGAGTTGTCACACTACTCAACCTCCCAGGCTCGCTTATTGCAGTGCACTGAAAATGAGGCTTATTAGTCAGTTGTTAAAACACAGATTTAGCAGGAGCAATATTATTTCAGTCTGCTCTAATGTGCTTTGGAAGAGCTGGTGGACTTTATTGACCCTGAGGGAGACCTAGAACATACTAGAGGGATTACTCTATCCCCTATGGCCTGAGAAAGCCCTAGGATCCCCTGGAGGAGCAGGACAAAGTGGCTGGGATGTAGGAGCCACCTGTCTCAGCCTGATTCCACTGCAACCTTGACTCCCATAGACTGAGACACTGATTGTTGGATTGATGAGAACTTCTGATTATGACAACAAAGTAGATCCACATGAAGAGCTGTCCTGTTTTTATTAGGTATACAGTAGGCTAGACTCAAGATACACTTGCAAGACTTAAGATAAGGATATTGAATAGTGTTGAAATAAAATGACATGACATTGTTTTTGGTTCACAGAAGAGCTATCAGATAGCAGGGAAACAGATTCTGTATGTCACACAAAAACATGGCAATAAACATTTCAGGGGGCCAAAGGTAATGAATATAGCCGTATGTCTGGGATTGATTACCGTCTTAAATAAGAAATAAAGAATTTCAGAGTAGAACTTGGCTTTTCTTCAGATACCGCATCAATCTAAGTTGCTTTTGAAGTTGGATTATACCATTAGTCCTTTTCCTCCTTTTAGTGCTTAACCAAGACTGTCTATCAGCTTTTTCGTGTAATCTGGGTGAACAATTCTGACTATTCTCTTCTAGCCCTCTGTATCATACCCCACTGTCAGTAACATTATTGCCTGTTTCTCCGATGCTCTCCGGTGCTTGTTAGAGAAATGATATCCAAAGTGCACTGCGGGTCACCCCCACACCATTAGGCATTAGGCATTACAGCAAGAGAGCAAAATTGTAAAAATAACAACAATGAAAAGATGTATTCTGTTTGTTTTATACTAAATTAATAAGAATCAGTTAAGAATTTAGGGTACGTTATCAATGCAGGAAAAAATAACATTATTTGAAATGGACATTCTGAAGTATATTGCTAGTATGAAGGATCTAAAATGTTGTAGCTGCATGCAGATGAGTACAGACTCAAATCACTCACTACCATTTGTTTTTTACCTTCCGACTGTTTTTTAATAGAGGTCATTTGAGTAGGCAAGTATTGGAGTTATTGTGAAATTGCCTTCCAAATGAATTATACATTACAGAATATATGTATAGATATTGATTTTTCTTGTCAGAGTTGAATCTAGAGAGCTCCTGCACATGAATATTATTACTGTATTTATTAAAGTGTAGAATATATTTGGCTTAAAAGGTTTAGCAAAATTATAGCTACCCAGAGGCACATGTACAAGTAGTAGTCCATATGGCCATAGTAATGGCTTTCATGTTACTGTTCTACAACAGCCTGTGTAAAAAACAAACCATATGTTACAAATGCGTCGTGCAAAGCTATGATTCTTTTGTTAAATTGCTCTGTGTAAACATGAAAAGACTTTGACTCAGCCATAGCATTGAAGTACGGAAGACAGCAAGCCTTTTGATTACCCTGGGTAAAAATTACTTTCCTTGTGCCTGACGTATTTCTGTTTTGAAAGAAAATTAATGCATCCTGCTTCGAACACTGGATCTGGAGTAGATTTAGGGTTAGGATCACGTGAAGTTTAGGGAAGTTAGCCAGAAAGCTAGTCAATAAAGAGATGGGTCATATAGTCGATGTTATGTTAATGTCTAGGCTACAATACCATATGGATACTGATACAGTTGGTTTGTTGAGGTAGAGGAGTTTCTTACCTTTCTTGTGCACACTTGATCAGTGAAATATTCTGCTTGTGGCAGTTAATCCTTTCGCCAGTTTATTGCTGTTTGACATTGAAATATTGGCATATGTGTTTATGTTGCTGTTTTTGTGTGGAAAAGACTCAGACTCTTTGCTGTTTGGTCCCTTGTGTTTCATCTCAGCCCTCTATAAAACTCTGTGAAAGTGAAAGCTTTTCATTACAGGAGAGAATAAATAGAGTATAGTTTGTATTTCAGCTTTGTAAAAAATGGCTTTTTTAAGGGTGTATTTTCAACATCACTTCAACAGATAGCATTATATATCTTAGATTCATGCAATATACAGTAGCATGCATTGCAAAATCAGCTCTGCTGAGATGTTATTGTTATCCTGGGAAAAAAATCATGATGTCAATATGACAAGAACTACATGTTGAGTTCCAGGCTGAGGTTGTGAAGGTTTTGAAAGATGGAAACAGTTTTTTAAGAATAAGTCTGAAATACGTTCATACTCATTAACAGATTCAGTCAATCCTAATAGAATAGCCTAATTGCATACAAACATTGAGAGAAATGCTTCTAGGAATTGAAGCATCACAGTGCCTTTGAGCTTTATCTGTCTGATCGGAGTGTTTCTTGCTTTTCCAGGTGTTTGCGTGTGAACCCTAAAGGTCTGGATGAGGAGAGTAAAGACTATCTATCACTTTACTTGCTCTTAGTCAGCTGCCCAAAAAGTGAGGTGCGCGCCAAGTTTAAGTTTTCTATCCTCAATGCCAAGGGAGAAGAGACCAAAGCCATGGGTAAGTCTGACCCTAGCCTGAAACAACTGATACTGACTTGTTCTCTGAAACACATACACCTCCCTCATTTTCATTTTCATTTCTACCACTTCTACGCTTTTCTTAACTTTTTATTGGAAAATAAGTTGGTGTTAATAACTGAAAAAAACTTTTTGGGCCCAACTTGCAGAGAAGTCTACGTTCAGCAGAAAACTGAGCATATCTCAAAGTTTGATAGGTTGAAAATTAAAAACTCCTGTCACACCTGTGTCTTTGGGGCGCTGAAATTTGTGAATGTAGGAGGTGGGGAGTGTGTCTAATACTCCCAAGTGTGTCGAATAATGGGAGGCATTGATAGCCATATGGGCTTGTGTAATCACTGCTGGTTGGATTCATTTCTGGTAAATATATAATTCAAAGTAGCGTGGGGCAATTTTGATTTTAATTAAAAAAGACCCAACCTTTTTAGAAGTCTTCGTCCGCCTCTCTCCCTGTTGATGAATTGGAAATGAATCCTGCTTTTTTTTTTAATTAGGTTATGTTATGGGGAGGAAAAGCAAACTTGTGTGGAATTGAATTAGTGAGGGCCAGATGTGACCGCTTCCTGGTTATCAGGCTTTCTGGCTGCCTCCCTCTCTCCCAGCGCCCTGCAGCATACTGTACAGGAAGCGTGGAGGAGGGAGGATGGGGCGTGGGAGTTAGGGAGAGGAGAGGAGAGGTGGGAGGAGGAAGTGTGTTTGAATCGAAGGCAGTGTAACTGTGTACAACCCCCTGCGGTGCAGGTTGTGTAGAAAGGGAAATCATTTTTCCTGCTGAGAAATATTTCCCCCATGTGAACCTGACACCCCCACCCCCTCGTGTGTACTTTCAGTCCCTCATTTGCTCACTTAGACCTCTCTCTCTGTTCTTCCACATTCACGGTGTCACTTTGTTTTTCTTTCATCCTTTTATTCCACTACTGCCCTGTAATGTTGGAATACCACCTCTTAACTCTCAGCGACAGTCTCACGAAAACAGAACCTTACTGCAGTTATTGTCCTTAAAGCTTTCTCTCCTGGCCATAATACTGCTGGTGGCTACATGATATTGTGGAGAGGATTTGCCTGCGTATATTTGCCTGTATGAGTAATAAACAGACCTTTGAGGTGTTTGACTTTACTGCTTGGCCATTGCGTGAGCACTGCTCCCTTAAATGACCCCCGAAATGCCTGAATGTGGGGAATACCGAGTGAAGTGAAGAGGATCTCATTTTCCTCTCCTCTCTTTTTGTGTCTCAAGGGGCTTTCGGCTATAAATGGTGTGCTCTATGGTGCACGCCCCATCCTATTCTTGCCATATGCCCTCCTCCAATCTTCCCTCAATCCCCCTGGGGAGACCTGGGCCCTCCACTTCGCTCGCCCTGTCACAGGAGAAAATTACCCAACTGCCAGCATATTTGTGACAGTTTAGTGAGCACTCCGTCTAAGAATATGGCCGTAAAGATTGCTCTATCGGTTCTGGATCATTTAGAATCCAATTTAATCCAAACCTCAAGGAAAAAAGGCCAAATAAAAACAAAGTGCCTTAATTAAGGAAGCTGGGTGGCTGTGGACTGTTTATGTGGCAGGTCACTGCTCGGCCTGCTTATACACCTTTGTCCCTGTGGGGACCATTTTTAATACAGTGCATATTATCTGTGTACTTTAAGTAGTAGTAGATAATCAGTAAGAAAGAAAAGTTTTGAAACTGTAGTGGGTACAGGGTATTGAAATATAGCAGACTAACATTGCTATTGAAGACACATGTCAGAATCGTGCTGATGGAAATCCTCAGTGCTGAGCTGAAGAGCTGAAGTTTGTGTTGCAGGTGTCGGTTTGGATTTCTGACTCTTGTAGCTTTTGGATGAGGCAAACTCTCGCTTACAAGCCAGTTTCTGTCACCAATGCAAAAGCACTGGCCATACACATGTTGTTTAATTTTCCCCAGACTCTGAGCTGGTATAACATTTTGATTTGTGTTGATGTGTTGTCTGGCTCGTGCAGACTGAGAATTAAAGTGTCCCTGCAGTACATAGAGGAGGAGCTATAAATATAAGGCTTCAGTACGATGGCAGATTTTGACTGGAAAGCTTGACATTATCTGATGAAACACCACATCTGCATCAGTCAGCCCTTGAGCCCCCCACTAGAGAGTGTGTGTCTGTGTCTGGATCCTCTGATGGTCCGTGCTTGCTAATGGAGATAGATTCAGGCAGCGGTGGCAGCCCACCACCCCCTCCCGACACCATACTCCCGTACTCTCGGCTTGGCCACATCATTTCTCTCTGTGGCTTAATGTGCTGGTTCTCTCCTCTGAGGCTTTTGGTGGGTTGTAACTTGTCTCTTGACACCCCTCCCCCTTATCCCCCTTCCTCCTCCTTTTGCCAGAGAAAACATCTGCCCCCCTGCGGACTCCTGTTCTGACAGCTCGGAGAGGAGAAATGGAAAGTTCTCATCCTCTGTCGCAAGCTCTTTTGTATTCAAATCGTCTCCTTGTTAAGTCTCCCCTACAGACAATGGTTTTGTTGTGTTGTAGCCAACAGCAAAGTGAGCTTATGTGTGTATGAGTTGGCCGGAGAGTCTAGTTATGTCAGGTTTTGGTGTAGGCTGCTTGTATATTTTGTAGCTGGAGATTCAGTGTTTTTGGTTTTGGTTAATTGAAGCGTTGGGTTTTTGAGCTTGTCAGAGTCTGTTGCCCTCAGTAACTGATGGAGGTGATCAGGCATTCTGTGTGGGTGAGTGGAGCACGGCTAATAGAGTAGAAGCTATTGGTCAGTCTTTACATAATCAGATGGTATTGACATTGGTAGAAAGAATGTCAATAAACACGTTTGTGCTGACACAAGCTTACAGAGCTCAATGTTCAATAGAGAATTAGATTTTCTTCTCTGACTGTGTGTCATATTTATATGTGTATCAGTCTGCTTTATGCCAACCAATGTGAATCAGTGTGTAGAATAAAGTTTTAACTTAGGATTTTAAACTTTGTTACCCGTGAGATAAATGTATACTTGTATGGACCGCGGTCTGCTCTGTTAATGGCTATGCTAATTGCCCTCTCGCGTCAATAGAACGTGAACGATTGCGAGTGTGATCTGTTGGTGGCTGTGAGTAATGGTTAGTGAAGGGATTTTGCTAAAGTCGAATGTGTGAAAGATAAGGCCAGAAGAGTGACAGACAGGAAGAGAGATGTTGACTTTGGCTGCTGTGTCGGCTGTTATTTTTCTACATGCCGGCTCATCTTCTGGCGACCTTCTCGTTCTGTGTGCCAACCGTGCCCCTGAGCCCTCCGCCTGAATATGGATGCCCTGCTCACTTAAACACCATGGCATAGCTCCCGCTTTCCTCTTCTTCTCTCTGTCTCCAGCTAAGACCTCATTTTTCTCACCTTCCTGATCACCTTCAATCTTTTTCTGGCAGGGTGAGAAACTTCACTCTTCACTGGCGGGAAACTATCAAAGTGCACCGCAGCATGGTAAAAACTTGAGAATCATCTTCATGGTGCTTACACACATCCACATTGTAACTGTGATTTTTCACACAAATTCCACAATAAGAGTCCCATATGTTAATGAGCTCTATATGTCATCGCCATAGGTGCTGTGAGACTTAACACAATCCACTATCAGCACTTGTTAATATCTCTTTTTTACCAGTCTTTTTCATCTCTCACACTTTTCCCCGTTGGATATCTCAGTTGTGCCGACCCCCTCCATCAGCTTCCAGCTCTCTTTGGTATTCTGGCAGAGTGGTTGCACTCCCGCCACCTTGGCCAGCTCACTGAAAGAGTGAGTGCCAGCGATCTGACCTGCAGTTGATTCTCTGCCAGTGCAGGTTTCTGATGCCCCACTAGAGATGGCAGCATGACATTAGCTGAGCTCAGCACACACACAGACACACACCCTTATCATCGGTGGCTGTATGCATGTGCACATTCACACATACACACACACAGGCACCTCACTGTCACGGGTAAGCAGTGAAGAAGTCACACCTCTCTCTCCCTTTCCCTTCAGTCTGCTGGAGCTTCTTTCAGCATTCCCTCTCACCTCTCCTCAACTCTTCCTCTTGGCTTTCTTCCCCCCCATCTCACTCTCCTGCCAACCTATCTCACACCCGAGTTTAGCTTTAGATACTGCCACTGGGGAAGTCCTCACTCATCGCTGCTAGTCTCGTTTCATACCCAAATAACACAACTTCACAAGGAGATTCTTGGCCTAGGGACTTCATCTGGGCCTCTCATGCTTGGTCTTATCAAATATGTTTAAAGGACATGAAAGAGAGGGTGAAAGTCAGTAGAGAAAGAGTTTCTTCAGACCTTTGAGAGTAAATCCAGGTGCTAAGTCTATTGCTTTGTGTCTACCCAGCCACAAACAGTACAGTGTAACAAGGCCACAGAAGTTTGACTGTCTTTTCAAGCCTGCTCGACTGTGGTTGAGAAATCTCAGTGTCTTTTCTGGAAACACTGACACTCTGTTACACACAGTAGCAGAACAATGAATAAAGTAGAGTACTGTGAAAAAGTGGAATGCATAGATTTGTAATTTTTGTGCATTGGCTTGCATGCATGCTTATGCTTATGCGGATGTGTGTGTGTTTGCATGGTGATTTCTGTCAGCTTCTTTGTGTACACAGTCTCCAGAGGCAGGGGATTACAGTGAAGGACCCCCTGCATGAGCAGTGGTGCAAATAACTGCATATGCACTGCACTCCTCCACCAATCCCCTCTTCCCTCAGATCCAAACAGGGGATTTGACAAAGGATCTTACGGCAGCATTGATACTTCAGTGCTTCCCACTGTGATCTGTCAGCAGATCTCCTGTTGGGATCTCTGCGCAAGAGCAGCCTAAAGAGCAATCTGTTTGAACTGCCGCGGCTAAACACATGTAGTGTGCACACACTGCAGATGTGTGAACGTGAGAGGTGATGACCTCTTCGTATGTGTGGTGACTGTGTAGCTTAGAGCTTGTTTCAGTCGAGTCTTTTTCCTACTACGTACCCGTTAACTGGATCTAAAGAAGACCCAAAGATTGTCTTTATCGCTTTTCCTCATCTGGCTTTAACACATGAATTGAATCTAGATTGTGGATGCATATAGCTTGTTTGCATGTCCCATTTAAATCTCATAAATGATAAACTGAAGGCTTTGAAAGGTACTGAATAAATCAGCTAAATTGGGGGTTAAATCTTTTGCATAGTGTATTTTGGTAGTTTACATTTTGATGCTTTTGTTAGTTGCTTTTTTTTTCTAGTTGTATTTTCACTTCATGGCATTTCATGTCTCTAGGGATACCATACGAACCGTTACATTAGAATAATCCTCATGCACAGGTTGAAATCAGATGTCTCTTGCAAATCACAGCCTGCTAGGCATCTCACTATCCTCTTAATACTTATGTCGCAGTCTGTTGCGTTTGCATGTATGCTTTCTGATTTAATTTATACACAGATTGAATTGATATACTTTATGTAGACTGGGGACATATCACTTTTACACATTGTCAGTACAGCCAAATGAGCACTGGACAACGTCTTCTAGTGATTTGATATTAAGAGTGTTTGTAGTGAATTTGCTTTTGGATTGTGTTTCTGCTCTTTCTCGACACAATCCAATCATCCAGATGCATGTTACATCATGTGTATAGGTCACGTTTAGGAGGATCTTGATGATATCCGCCAAAGAAATGAAAATAACTGAATAATAAATTGATTTCTAGTGCTTCCTATGTAGCTTCTGGTGCATTTTCCTGACTAATTTGATCCCATTTAACTCTTTGCAGGACAGGATACATAATAACGGACATCCTTAAGTTATTACCTTAATCATGTGGTGAAGGTACCCTGATAGGAATGGACAACAATGTCACCATACACAGAAAGGGTCTGTCACTGAAGCTTGGCTCAGCTGAACACATTCAGAAATCCCAGAGCAGTGCCAGAGGAAGCATTTTCTTCTCATTAACAAAATGGCGAATGATGTAATTTCTCCAAAGCATGGTGTTACGTTCCTCCAACGGAACTCCAGTTACTTGCAGAATTTATGCGTTAGTGGCTTGCTCTCTTTCTATCAGCAATTAGCTTTAATTTGCTGTGATCTCTGGGGCAGTCATAGTCCGTAGTCATTATCTTTTGACCTCGTATGTGAGCATTTGTGACTGTTAGGTGACTGTAGATAGCTGTTACCGCCCCCACAGTGTGACTATTGTACACACAAGAACTCCAGCACCTTTCCTGTGTCTTTGTAGTGCAACTGAGTGTTACAGAATCCTTCCTGCCACTGTCAGAGATAATTGGCACTCCATAAACACATGATAATTGGACCGCTTTGATCCCTGCAATTTCTCACTTCTTGGCCAAAGAGGCACAGCAGTTCTGTCTCATGTTTACCACTAGTCTTTATGTGGCAGAGGATACAGAGAGTGAAAGAGGGAGAGAGAGAGATTCTGTTTTCTTCTGAAGTGTTAAAAGCTCCCTGCAGGCAATACTTCCTGCACCCAGCCTCTTTCGCCATTGTTCCTCCGCTGCTTATGGCCATGACTCATAACAAACTTTCTCTTTAGCGCACACATTCACACACACAGAGCTTAATCACGTTGTGAAAGTCTCCAAATAATCTTGTTTCGCCTTGTTTGTCCGTGTGTTTTCTCTTTCAGAGAGCCAGAGAGCATACCGTTTTGTCCAGGGGAAGGACTGGGGTTTCAAAAAGTTCATAAGGAGGGACTTCCTGCTGGACGAGGCCAACGGTCTGCTGCCTGATGACAAATTAACACTTTTCTGTGAGGTAGGGGTTGAGTGACTTTATCTGAGCGAAGGGTTATTTGTGAAACACCCACTGTCTTTACTTTTAAGCTCCAAATATTTCCCAAAGAAATTCATAGTACAGGCTCCACATTCAAAAATGATAATCCTGATTTTATTGCTTTTATGAATAATTATTTATCAAATGAGACATTTTAACATTGCAGACAAAAACAGACTTCTATGATTAACCTTTCAAATAAAAAATTTGATGTTGGATCACTCTGATGCTGAGCTGTGTGTACATTCGTAGAACTACTTACCCCAAAATATATAATTTTAATAGGATCTAAAAATAATGAATTCTGTTGAAATATCTAAATGTATTGTTTGTATTTGTGGTTTTGCCTTGGAGTGATCACAACTGTAATTCTTGTCTCACTCATCTTTTTATTCAACACTACTGCTCATTGTATGTCCCTGTTAGTGAATAATGTATGTTTTTATTGGTACTACATAGCCTCTGGGTTTAGAGCTCTCTCATCACTAACATACAAGCTGATTGTCATTCAGCCGGCATGGTGGCTTGGCTCCGATTCCTCTGATCCAAAGCTGGCTGCTGCTCCTCATTGAAAATTCCCTTGTTGTTTTTCAGCCGTAACACAGGGGGCAGCAGAGGTCAACTGTCCTCTCTCTCGTTCCCCTCTGCTCCTCATAATGGAACCAGGGAGCAGAGAAGAGGTTAAACTTTCTGGATATGTTAATGCCTTAGTTGTAATGCATGCACCCATAAATGTTTAAAAAGCATGGCAGTGGCTGTTTAAAACAATTCTAATTAACCCTGCGGGTATGGAGGAGAGCATGTCTTGAAGTTTTCCCTTTTTGTAGCGGAGCAATGTGCAAGTCTGTTTAAAGTGTTTCCAAACTGGGCTTATTGACAGAGGGGTAGGAGGGGCAGTGGCGCTTCTCCAGAGCCAAGTGGGATCGGGGGTAGAGTCGTGTGTGTGTGTGTGTGTGTGTGTGTAAGAGTATCTTATGCATATATTGTGTGTGTTCGTGCAGGCGTGTCTCATTGGGATGCAATTTTGAGGATGAGTCTGTTCGCTGGAGAGAATGAGCTGGAAGAAAGAGAGGGATTAGTTACCTTGAAGAGTCCTCTCTCACTGAATTCATCCACTCTCCTGAAGGGGAGGAGGCGGGGTTGCTGGTTCAAGTCCTCGGTGGCCACTTCCTCCTCCGGAAATATCTGTTGTACCGTGGTAATTAGCAAACTCTGCTGATGAACAAGCAAGGCAAGGCAAACCTGATTTATATAGCACATTCTATATACAAAGAAAAATCAGTGTGTTAAATATAAAGACTGTGTACTACAAAAAAGATTAAATGAGAATAGAAGCAGATAAATAAAAAAGGCAGAGAACATTTTCTGTATTTTCAAGATTCAAAAGTAGTCTGCGGTCCTATGGAAGTTTTCTCCACTTCTCTAACATAATAACTTAAAGGACCAGTGTGTAAGAGTTAGGGGAACCTATTTGCTATCTATAATAATAGTGTATAATCACCTGAAAATAAGAATCTTTGTGTTTTCATTGCATTTCATGAGCCCTCAATATCTACAGAGGGAGCCAAACCAAGCACTGACTCTAGATAAGGCCTTTCACATTTTTTGCGAGTTTCTCAAGCAGCGTATGTTCTCCTATGTGCTTGGAAGGGGAGGATGAGGCAAGGGGTATTCAGTCGGTTGCAATCTGCAACCCCACCGCTAGATGCCACTAACTCCTACACACCGATCCTTTAAGCTTTACTAAGTTTTAAACCTGGCAAAAATTTAACAGAACAGCCCCAGATGACCCGAGAGGTCTGCAGAGTTAATATTCTGAAAGCAAGTCGGAGACTTAAATAGATAGGCAGCAGTATTTTAAAATCAATTCTAAAACGTGTGTGTGTGTGAATGTGAGTGTGTGTGTGTGTCATAGAAAAAAAAGGCCAGTCTGGAACTAGGATGTTTGTGTGCAGTAAATGATGAGATTGCCAACAGTGAGGTCTGGTTGCGTTTTCCACCAACACGTGGGCCTGACAGTTTGGCGGAGTTGGGTTTTGGGTGGATGGTGGTAAGAAAGTGCTGAACGGGTGTTTGAATCTCTTTTCCTGGTCTTTTTCCATGTGAAAGTGAAGCCCAGTGTTTACCGTCAGAGACCTGGCTCCGCTTTCGTCCAGATGGTCTCGTCCTGCATCTGAGAGAGCCCCATTTGCCCCAGAGCCCAGCTCTCTCCCTCTTCTCTCTTCTCTCATCCCCTCCACTTTCTCTTTTTCCCCTCCATCTTATCTTTCATTCAAACCCAATCTCCTTCTCCTCCTCCTTTCCCTTCCCCTTTCATCTCTTGCTGCCTCCCACTTTGAGCATCACAGTTTCTTACCCTCATCTCCTCACTCTACCTTCACTTCTCCCCCGCGTCCCTTGTCCCCCCTCTTTGCTCAGCCCTACTTTTCCTTCCTCCCTCTTTGACCTCCTTCATCTCCCGTCTTTCTACCTCTTTTTATTCCGTGTATCGGAGTGTCAAAGAGGCGAATAGGCTATGAGGAGAAGCCAGATCACTGTGGGAGGGGGATACTGGCTCAACCTCTCTTCCTGACCCTTGGTCCCTGTGCTCGGTTCATTTGCCTCCGGAGACATTAGTAATTCAAATTTAGCAAAGGGAATCTGGCTATATGTCATGTTGGAGAGGGTCTGAACAACACCAGCGGCCGCTCTCTCGCTCTATTCGTCTCTCTCTATGCCTCCATCTCTCTCTCTCATTCCGTCCCTGCCAAAGCGCTGCAGACACCTGCAGGTATTTAATGAGGAGATAGCTCCCATTAAAGGTGCTGCGTTGGCTGTCAAAAGAGAGCATGAGGGGACAGAGAGGGAAAAAGAAGGAGGGAAAGGAGGCACAGCAAGAAGAGATTGAAGGAAAAGCCTTCTCAGGAAAAGTGGGCACACTGGGTGGCATCGTGCCACAGGGGGTGAAGAACAGACAAAGAGGAAAAATAAAGATGATATGGGATAAAAAACAAAAGGCCACAATGGTTTTGATTGATTGATTGGTTTTTGTTCTAGAGAGAATGTTTTCATGTGGATGAGACATGTTTTTACTTTCTTTTCTCCTCTAATGAGACACAGAGGTAAAGGAGGTTAAATCCTCTTTCTCTTTACCCCTCCTCTCTTTTTTTTCCCTGTCAGCGCTGCAGGTAACCTCTTGCCTAAAGGTCAAACCATTGCTATCTAGCCGCTCATGCTATAGATAATGCAGATACTCTGGAAGTTTTTCAAGTAATACCAAACACACACATTGGGGTCCTATGGCTCCCGGAAAATCTCGACTTCTTTGTGCTGTCGTGATTTGCCTGCAGGCAGAGCTGTGTTGACTGACACTGTAAGGGTTACTACTCTGGAAGTCTGTTTTGACTGACTAAAGGGAACAGAAGGGGTTGTTTTGGAAGGGAGAAGTTTATGGTGAAACGTATCTGTCAGTCATGGTAAATTGGCTGCTGAAAAGTGGAGGAACACACTGGTCCACCTTTACTTAGCCAGAAGGAGAATCAGAGAGCTACTGCTGCAGGACACATTTGGTTTATGTCACAGAGGAGATAGTCTACTCCTCCCCAGTCTGCTGTGGCCTCGGGTGCAACATGCAGGATAAACCCTGATATTCTCTGCAGCTACCATGCAGACAAAACATACTGTATCAGTTATTACTCTGCTTTAGCCATTGATAGGCTACATTGTATCTGTCTTTGTCTTAGCTGACTGATACTGATATACTGATTTCCCAAAAAAGTGTGTGATTGTTTGACTCGGAGCAAGGTAGGTGCGTTAAGTACATTAACGAAGCAGTGTGTCTTGACTGTTTTGGGAGTTTTGTGGACATTGATTGCCAGCCTGTGCAATGTGCATCAAGAGCACCCGTCGCTCTCAGATCAAAGAGGTGCTTCCTCATTGTTTTTTTATACTGATATTTTATTTTGCCAATAAGGACTGATGTTGGCCTTTTATTAAAAATGGCATTGATTTTATTCAAGTTGCAAGTTGTGAAATTGAGAACTGCTGCATATTTGGCTCCTGTCTTATTTACACATAAATTAAATGAAATGCGGGAGATAAAAAGAGTTTTCACTAGATTTTTTTCCAGGTTCAATAAACATCACTGTGAAGTGCGACAGAGGAGAGAACAGAGAGCCAGATTTACTGCGGCTTTTGCGCCTGTTTTGCAGGCGCAGATGTAACAAATTCTTCCCCAACCATATGTGCTGTATTTATCATACAGACGCACCAGAATGTAGTTGCAGTTTATGTGTCATTTACAAGTGTCTGCAAGGTGCTCCTCTCTCCTCATTGCATATGCATTTAAGGTAAGATCACACAAATAATAGGGGGAAACATGTTAAGAGAGGTTGATTATGTATTCCACTGGATTTACTGCACTCTTTATGATTATCAATTTTGTGGGAAAAATTATTTGCCTGTGAAAAGGAGGTGTAAACATTTACAAGAGCCACAAGGAAGATTGCAGTGGGAAAAAGAAGGTGCATTAAATATAGGCTTATATAGAACTAAACATGGATTATTAGAAGCGAACATTAAGAAATAAGGCTGTGATTAATGAACATGTGAATGAATATGATTACTGTCGAATGAAACTGAAGATGTGGGAAGGGTAGTTAGGAGAAATCTGATCCTTCAAATGTGTTTATATCACTCAAAAGTGGGCGTGGCTGAGCAAGTACAAGGTGATATCAAGAGGATGAGGGAAAAATGTATGAAACAGACCATAACCACATTATTTGTAAATGTAAATGTTTCTTCTTGGTTACAATTCATCACAGAAATACTGAGCTACTACGACCCACAGCTGACAGACAAGTCGGGTCATATGTGGTTTTATATGACAGGCCGGGTTAGCTATACAGTGGTCGCCCCAAATCAAATTTGACTAGATGAATATATGTATACGCCCCTAAGTTCAAGGATAGTGTTTTCTTTCACTGTGTCTTTAAGATAAAAGA